GTTCGGCGTTAAACAAAGCATAAAGTTTATTAAACACGAGGTCGTTGATACAAATGTATACATGGTATATATCTACATATATCTGTATATTTTCTGTGCCTTCCAAGTGTAATTGTCGGCTAGCAGCGCCAATTGGATGTGCAAAAGTATTATATCGCCTATTCATGCTGATTTTTATCTTATCTGTCTCGCCTCAATGGCTGAGGAGAAGATTTTACAAACAATAATTTATTTATTTATCGCCACAAGTCTTATTTAGTCGCCTAGAGTTTTAATATATCTTGGGGTTTTGTTGTGAATCTTCTATGTACTTATGTATGTTAAATATTGATATGAAAGCGATCCTTGCACCACTTTGTAGGTCTATTCTGGAATACTGTATGCTAACCTGCTGGAGTCTGGTCAGAATAGTTTTTCAATATAAACCGGATTCCAAATCATTCATCTGTTCTTTCAGTCAAGACTTATCTCATTGCCAACTCTGTTAAGCTTAACGTGAAAATACACAGTTCTTCATCCTGTTGCATTATAATAGGGGACCTCTTAAGCTGCTATCAGAATCTAACAAGCCTTAACGATTTGTTTTATTAATTTTTGGTTTGATCTTATTTGAAAAGTGTTGGTTTTTATTTCAAATTCCATACCCAGACTAATTATATATACGAACGTGTACTCGTATAATCATTATGACTATTTACTCGCATATAAGTATCAGTATCCATCGTCTCGTTCATATTCAGATCCAAACTATACTATACTTGTATAGCATCATAAGTATTTAGAGAAATTTAAGTATTTGATGACCCTACCTGAGTGTTGGGATTTTGAGTTTATTGAGCCCTTTCTATACCCTGTATCATCGCCTATTTAAGAGTTTAGAATTGTATTGTTTAAAGAATAAATAATTTTAATAATAGTTTACTTTAAAGAAAAAAATGTTTGAAAAGAAAATATTATATGTTGTACCTTGTGTATCAGTGTCTATTAAATAAAAAATATTTATATATTTCTCTTGATTTTAAAAGAGTTAATATAATATAAAACTTAGCGTAACTTAATAATATTTTTAATATTACAAGTATATTAGAAATTAAATGAATTTGATAAAAAAAAAACATTTACTCTTTTACTGTTCGTAGGCATAATATTATTTCTCACTTTTGTTAAAAGAGCAGACGAATATTTTTCCGGTTGTTTCTAAAGAATAATGAATATTTATGCAATGTTTTTTGCTTTTAAATAAACTTAAATATGTACATTCACGCGTCAGAAATATAATCACGTTTTAATTGTACTCGCAATTTGCTATTTTTATGGCTAAAGTAGCCAAGTGTACGAGTAATGTGAAAATAAATGGGTTCTCAATTATAGAATTGCATAACCATACACGTTTTTATTGTAGGAGTAGAATTTTAATGTAACATGTTCATTTATAATTTTACGAGCCAAAAGGCTTGAATGGCCAAAACAATCATCCCATAACAAATGTATAGAATTACTAAAAATCATGCAGCTATGCAGAATAATCATTAAAATGTGTTCTAGAGATCAATGCTTAATACGCAATTTGTATGAATGGGAATGAATGGAGAGTGTCGGCTATTAGCAATACTTTTATATAAAAAACAAGGTCAGTTCCTAGACAGATGTCTTCATCTAACTTTTGGAGTTGGCCTAAATAAGATATGTGTTAAGAGCTTTGTAAAATATTTTCGCAAGCATCTTAATTTAAATCCTTGAATAGTTTGAGGTCAAAGGGTTTTTTGAACTTTCTAACCCTAGAACGTTTGGATAATCAAGAAAGCGCTTCAATGAAATCTCTTAGATTTATAATCTGAATGCCTTAACTAACAAAAATCTGTTTTTTACTGAAATTAAAAACAGTTTGCTTAGGAATTTTTAAAGCTTGGTACGTTTAGTTATAAGTGTACGATTGTTTAAAAAATATCTTAGAAATCTCAGAAATTACAACCTTGCGGAAACTAAAATCGTTTTTTTTTTTTTTTTTTTGAAAGATATAAGGAAATTAATGTGAGATCCGTTTAAATTTCTACACCTTTTGTATTTAAGAGCAACTATATGTAACCAGATGTACCTATAAATGTAACTGTATGTGGGAAAAAGTAAGGGTATTCGACCTTGGCTTAACTCTTCCATTAAAAGAGATAGGCTTGGCTTTGTTACAAATCCTTAACAGATGGAATTCAGAACAATATTTTCCCACGTTTTCGGAAAATGTCCGGCGGCGAAAAAGTTATGCAATAATTGCGCAATGCTGTTCCTTACCAACAAAGAATTGGGCCCAGTCGTTCTGAAACTGCGGGACAGACAGGCCACAACGGAAATGGACAATAAATCCGAAGGAAAGGTTTGATGCTCTAACAGTACCCTCACAATAGCTATATAGCGGACACGCAATGCATGCACAATAGTCTCTAAGAATTTACAGCTTGGGCCTCAGCCATACAGTTGAGTCCTTAGGCTTGTCTAGCGGTCTAGCGGCCAAGTGACGCATTAACCTTTTACCTGTTGCCACTCTATGTCTGAACGCTAATTTGGGTAAAGAAGTAGAAGAAGAAGACGTACAATTTTTAAATCGATACAAAAGTTAACATTACCTGTACACACAAATATTTTGTAGTTGAGAGCAATGGAGGATACAGTTTCAGTTAAAGGTCGACGCTTATCGACTCTAAGTCATCGTTCTGATCATTACGAACAAAGTCATTATCCAGCGTTAGGTCTAAGCAGCCTAGCCGTCGCCATCGCCGGCGTTTGGGTCGGGGTCGGGGTCAGCGACGCTTCAATCAGACTCAGAGCACTAATCCACACCAACGTCTGTCGGTGTCGCCCTTCCTGAGCAGTCAAGTGTAAGTGAACCTTTTATGCTCTCTGCAGCTCAATGGGTGTACTTATTCTGCCTTAGGGAAGGTCAAATCCAGATAGAGCCAAACCACATGAGCCGCCTATCAGGCTGATCAGCTCTAGGTTTTCATTGGACTTACTGCTAATGATAGTCGACAGTTTATCGTTGAAACCAAAATCTATTAAAATGTATTTAAATTGTGTTTTCCCATTATTAAAATTTGCTTATTTCTTTTTATTTTATTTCCTAATATTTTTAAATTGTACAAATGTGTTTTTTATTTATTTGCTTGAATTAAGTTCGTATAGTTTTTAATTTGTATACTTCTGATTTAATTTTTTATATTAATTACTTTTCTTTATTTTTAATAAGGTCTCTCAGAATTTTGGAGCTAATGTTCTTCGTTTTTAATTTTCCATACACTTTCTTTTGTGGTTATTTACATCAAATGCAATTTTTGATATTATAATTAAGAAGTGAGAAGCAATTACTCAGTTGTAGGGTACCTGATATTCTTCATTCGTCATGTTTCCATTCGTTTTGTGTCAATTTTCGTTCTTTTTACCTTCTTTATTTATTTTATTATTATTTGTGGCCATTATTAAATCTTATACTTTATTCTCTTGCTGCAAGGGATAACTTTGTTGTAATGTACAAAGCAGGACGTGGGACGAAGAAGAGACAGACTGCAGACTGCAGATTTAAATTGGAATTTGACACCGATTGAACCAGTTCATGTTTCTTGGAATTTTTAATTGTGATTGATCAATTGATTAACACAGTGCGGCATAGCCAGCAGCTATGCACATTTTTTTTTATTCTGCCTCTACCCTTCGGCTTGTGTTATTTAGATTCTAGATTGCATTCACGATGTGCTGCTATGTTTATACCTATGTTGATATATATTTTATGAATTGTTGAGAAATTATGTATTTAGTAAGTACATAAATAATGTTGTTTTCAGGAGCGTGTGAAATTCGATTGTGGAGTCTATATTACCAAAAGAATTAAAAACACATTTAAAATATATTTATAGTATTGGTGATGATATTTTCTATTTCTATCTAATTTTATTTCATTTTCTTTTAAATAAATATTTTATTTAAAAATTACACCTAAATAGTAGTTCTACTTTTTCCTCCCATTAGATTTCGAGGATGCAAAAATTATTTGATTTATTGTTTATTGTACGCCAATAGTGAACTCCGCAGCTATAAAGAACAAGAAAACAAAAAAGTCAATGATGTGTCATTTAAGAAATTGTTTTTACATAATTTATTGTGCATTGTATTGCGTTTACTAAACTATTAAATGCACTTACTTGGATTATTGTTATAGAACAGCATATGTTCATACATATGTATTTATGTCTCCCGCAATTTAAGAAATTATCCCAACATTGATTTAGTAAAGTAAAAATACATTCATTTATTTGGTCTTGGTTTTCATTGGAGTTGCGGAATTAAAAATGGTATGCATAACGTACCAATTACGATCTGCTTTAATTATTCACTGAGCTTTTTTTTTAAACATTTCCCCCCATTTTTTAATAACAAAATTTATCCGTAAAAATGGTACACTATTAATGAATGTTTTTCCGCTTAATCGGGTACATTTTCTTGTATGATCATAAAATCATTAGCATTTGTGCAAGACTAGTTTTGACCGATTTTGGAAAGAGTGTGCAAGCTTTGTTTTTATTATTATTAATTTTTTTTAAATTTTTGCCATACCTTAAATTTAAATTGGCTGGGTGTAGGTGGTAAAGAGCAGAAGCCCCGCCACAAAATGACAATATTGTCTTTGCCGAAAGCAAAGAAACCAAAATAAACACAAAGTTTATATCTTATCGGAAGCCAAACAGTAAAACAAGTCCAGCAATCGCCTACAACTAACCATAAGACCTAATTAGTGGAAGATTTTGAATTTGAATTTTTTGTCGGGTTGATGCTTCTGTTGCCGCACACCTGTAGCTCGCGCCCCATACCATGCTAGCCAAACCTGATCTACCAGCACGAACACAGTGGCAAAAGTACACACACAAACACAAATGCGCACTCACTTATGCACACATACACGCAATCGTTGGTGAAGTTGTTGAGGTTTGCGGTCGCTCGCTCAGTCGATTTCGAATTCTCGTAGCGAAAGGTTGTGTTTGAGCGGGCGGCTTGTATTTTCGTTGCGTTCGTTCTTTTTTATTTTTAATATGTCTTTGTAATGTACTTTGAGTTGAAAACGAACAACTCCACTCCAGAAGGGAAGTGCAAGGAAGGCGAACAGTAAAAATAAACAAAAACGTTGTGCCCAGTTCTAAAATTAAACCATAAAATTGGAATACAACGCTGAGTTCAAAAACAAGTGTGTAAGTTCGTCGTTATCGAGTGTTGAGGGTTTCTGAAATTATTTCGAATGTGTCTTTACATTTAAGTGGCCAACTTATTAGCTAGTCTGTAGTGCGTGCGCTTAAATAAAATAAAATAAGATAAAAAGAAACCGTAATTTGTGCTGCTAAAATAGTTGAACGCGTCACTTCTACCGATTTTTGCCACTTTCAACAACAAAACCAAAACGGCGCTCAATTAATCGTTTCTCTGCGCGCTTGGCTCTCTTGCTCTCCCTAGCTCAGCGGCTGTATATGCATATGTGTGTGTGTGTTTGTTTCTTGCTCGCGTCAGCTATCGAAGCTTGGTTTACATACATACATATGTGTTGTTGTTGACATTTCCTCTCTACTGGTCGAAAGTGTGCTGAACATGAAATAAAATTTGCAAATAAATAATGAAAACAAAAAACAGTTACCAAATTGCCAAAGCCAAAAAAGCAACGCTAATAATTACACAGGCATACAACAACAAATCATCAATACTTTCAATATGTGCGCCAAAAACAGACCCAAGCCAGTAAAAAAAACAACAACACGACGATAACTCCAATTACGCATTCAAAGAGCGTATCGACTATTCCTATTCTAAACACAGCAATGGAATACATTAGTCGTGTGAGCCCGACTCTGAAGAGCCCTGTACCAACTGAAAGAATTTTTGTTTTCATATTTTAATTTCAATTGCATTTTTAAATTAATTAAATACAAATATGACTACTATATTGATGTGCGTTTCTAAAGCCATACATCTATGTATATCGTACGGATAGGGCGAAATTGCCACATCTTACCATGCTGAGCAGAAATTCATATACATACTTACATATGTATATACATGTGTACATATGTATGTAACCTTTCATTCTTCTTGTTGCCAAGAAATCACATGAAACTTAAATTAAATAGCAGTGCCCACAAAAACAAACAAATACAACATGCAAATATTTGTAAGTACCGATCTAGCTATGTATGTAAACGAGTCGCTCATATTGATTGTTAGACAAGGCACAATTTCAATCCGTCTCTGGCTATTCTAACGACGCGTTGTCGATCAAAGTCGGACTTTCTGCTTTGCATAAATGAAACGATGAATATTTAGCAGCTGCTTCGTACGCGGTAGCGATAGCTGACGCCTAGGCTTTATTTGCAGATCACGTTCCATGCGAAATTCATTTACTAAATACGCATAAAGCACATGAAAACAAAAACAAAAACACAGTCGAGACGACTCGTCAAAGCTGTTGCTTCGAACTTCGAAGCCGAGCGAACATCAAGAAACCAACAACACCACCAACAACCACCACATTGCATGCCAAACGCAGCCGCAGTCGCCATTTTGCGTCGTTAAAAGCGATCAGAAACGTTTCTAAGTGTAAAATTGGAAGCGTAAATAACAAAACAAAGGAACGATCTGCTTGTGGTATTTAGAGGCTCTCTCGCATGCCAATAGGTTCCGACTTTTGAAAAGCATTTCTCGCAGAGAAACAAACACAAAGCTGTAATACCATTATTTATTTATATGTAAAACATTTCCATATTTAGAGTTTGTGTTTAAATATTGCTCGGCGTCACGACTCGGCATTTATAAACGACAATTGGATTAACTTTCGTGGATATTTCTACAAAAACAATCATTTTCTCTTTCTGGAAATAAAGGTAATACTATTTATATTATACTTTAGCTAATTATAAGATTACAAAATTAACTTATTAGTGTAAATAATTTGATGGGTGATGTGCATATTTAGCTGTTTTTCACACTAATGTGCTATTTTTAAATACCCATTCAAATTATAAGTAAGCAAAATCCTTATTATCTGATTATCGCACTAATGTGTTAAGTTAGGCGATACAAACTACCCATTCGGATTACTTTTCACAAAGCTATAAAATCCTTCAAAGTTATAAAAAAATTTCATTCAAGTATAAGTTGAAAAGCTCGCCTTTAATGCGATTAGTTAATGTAAATTCTGGATGCTAATGACTTTTTATAGTACTGTCCGTTTTATTTCTAATCGACAAAGGTGAAGTTATTGCTATTTATGACACAAGTTTTTACCATTAATAATAGCACGTAAATATTGAAATATTGGGCATGCCACACAATTTTATTTTTCATGGTGTATGCCTTTAAAGAGTGCAATAAAAATTCTGGGAAACAGCGATGATGATTGAAATACATACATATATAAGGAAGAGAGATGGAGAGAGAACTTGATAATAATTTAAGCAACGGATGTCAATGCTTTAAAAAAAGAAAAAAAACTGTTTTCTTTAATTAATGCATATATACAGAAATGTACATGAAAAATACTTATGTAGAAATACTGTGTGTCTTTCATGTAAAATGTCTGCACTGCATTCATGTATTTATGTTTTTACGCGCTGCTGTGGGTGCAAGTCAAAGTTCATTTTATTTTTAGCAGCTCTTTCTGGCTCCTTCTGCTTCTCTATGTATATACATACACAAATACGTATGTATATGGTTTTAAATGCTGAGTGACAAATTTTGCCACATGTTGTGAGACACAGACCCTGTTGGCCCACTCTGCCTAAGCTGCCGCGATAGAAAATGATTTACAGCTGCAACACAAAGAATTTCGAGATTAACTTGAACAAAATGCATCCATCATCAAGATTCTGGCCGCCGTTTGTCGTAACAAAAGTTTAAAACATAAATGCAGGAAAAGACAAAACAAATCATAATTTTTTTTTCGGGTTGAGTCAGGAAATTTCAATCATGTTGGAGTGATTATTGTACTTTACTTAACACAGGGGAGATCTATCTAGTGGTAGACTTCAAAAACGCACTCTCAAGAAATTACGCAGTTGCATTCTCAGTTGCATCTATAGAGGGAGATAGAGCGTACATTTAGTATATACAGTGGGCACTCGAGAAAGTGATTTGGTGTTGGAAGATTTTATTTATATTATATAAAAATTATTCTTTGTGCCACAAGTAGCTAACAAATTATTGAAGTACTCAATATAAGTTCAGAAGAATACCTACAATGTTGTTATTTTCAACAGTAGGTATATTTATATATCTCTTGATTTGGGTACAGATAACTTTTTGAATAGAATGCAAATAAAATTGAAGTTAATAGATCACTTGTATTGGTATTGAAAATGTATACGCCATTCCAAAAGTTTTGTATATACTTCTAACAATAATAGAAAGTTCTACAAGTTTAATGAAATAACAAAAAATAAAAACATTGAATTATGCGCTGAAGTCACCTAAATAATGGGAAAACGTAAAGTGATAACAATTTCAACTTGAAATTAGTTTCTGATGAAGGGAAAAACTGAACAAATAAAAGGAATTCAGTAAAGTAAAAAAAAAACTCGGCATCAAGCTGTTCGAAGTTCCATGTATTCACTGTACCTTTCTTGGACATATATGTGCTCGATAGACTTGGTCTTCTTTTACCATCACAAAAATGGTGGAGATGCTTCACACAGACATATGTACATATATGCTCATACATAGGGCTGATGCGTTCCAACGATTCTCTGGTTGCTGTCTGTGCATCGCTTGGCAGAGTTGACGCTATTTTAAGCTCCTGTCTAGACATGACATCCTTCACATCCATGTGTGCGCTCAGATGCACCCCAACAATATGCCTTTGTCGTCTTTGTTACGGCTTGGTGTGGATTTGAATGATTCCGAACGAGGAAAATTGAATTTTTCATTTGCTTGCTACAAAATCTGAGGGCGATCTGTTTAGGTACGCCTACGCAGAAAGTTCTCACCCACGCCCATGCTCAGAACTGATCACGCAATTTAAAAAACAAATACCGAAGCGAAAGGCATTAGGTTTGTAACTTTATGGCGCCTAGATGTGACACCATTTTGTTCCGTTTGAAACCATTTCGAGTGCGCTGTTAGCATATAAAATTGTCAGAGACAGGTTTTGGGGCACCCTACTTTCTATGAAATGGAAACCCAAGACAAACTTTGAATGGGAGAAGAATTAAGCTCTTCTCGACGTGAGTGCGTTTAATAAAAGTTCGATTTGAAATGTAAACTAAATGTGAAACTTAATGAAGGGAGTTGTAGCTTCAGACTGCGACTGTCACTGCCCTAGGGCAAGTGACCGGGCGTAAGGCGAAACTAGTTGGTATTCATGTTGCAGACAGACTCCAGTGTACACTTTTTGCTGCCGCCATTCGCATGAAACATCCATCGGCCATGCATATTCATATATGCAATTTGTTACGCCACAAACGACGACAAACGACACTCTGGAACGTCAGCGTCAACGTCAACGTCATTGTTATCCAACCAACCTGATGGCGACAATTGCTGTCGCGCAGAGACAGACATGTACGGACATGAACGGCGGACAGCAGGACAAGAGGACAGGAGGAGGAGGGGGAGGGGGTGATACTTCCATGCACCCTAGTGGCAATGCACTTGCCTGAGAAGATGATCTAGGAGTTCAAATCGATTGCCACATACATACTTGTAAATACATACATACATAGTAGTTCATGGACCAAAGAAGCCATGCAAGCAAGTCAAGTTGTTGCTGTAAATTACTGGAAATGATTGCAATTTGTAAATGGGTAAACGATAGATAAGCGCAAAAGAGTTAAGAGACCAAGAACTAGAAACTAGTGTAGGTTTCTTTTGATTTTCTTGCAGCTGCAAAATTGCGACATAGACTTGGCGAAGAGACCTTTTTATTTGTATTTGCTTACAATATACACGAATGCATACACTGAAAGAAAAAATCAGCATGATCGTACTTGAGTTAAAAGGAAGTTGTTCCGAAATACTCGGAGATACTGATATAGAGAAGTGATGGTATATATATTATATTTCTGATATACTTGGAATGATTTGTTACCAAAATGGGCTCGCATTAAGTATGCCCATAATTTGGGAGCGAAGCTGTTTAATTGAGACCAAAATATTGCTTAAGTTATAGATGTTATAAGGTTGTTTAAGACTTTAAATAACTATTATAAACTTAAAGAATTGTCAAGTTGTATCAGATATAATATGTATATATTCTTGAATTTAAGTCAAGCCCAAAGTTCTCTCTTCACTTCAATCGGTGGGACAATGCCAGATCTATGAAAGGCATAGAATATTGGATAGATATGAAAACTGCCTGCTAAACTGAATAACTAAAATGTTATGCTTTAGCACACTCTACGGAGCTTGCTTTTAGAACAAGATCTAAAATCGATATGTGAACTCAATTAGTTCCAACAAAAGTTTCAAGTGTATATACTCTGTATATGTGTATGTATTTTGCTGAATCTCATACCCTACAGCCCATGGCCACCTTGGCTGCTTACTTTGTTGCACATGAGAGTCATAAATGTGCAACAGCAATAGCAACAATAAAAGCAACAACAATGGTGGCAGAACCTGCAATTATTACAACAGGTTTGCAGTCTAGATGAAAAAGCTTTACGCCTCTGCCCGAATGGCGTAGTTATTGCTGGTGTTTCTATAAAATATCACATTTATGTAGGTACGGGTTTGGGTTTTGTTGAACTGAAAAGCAGCTCAGCCGGTTGCAGTTGTGGATGCTGCTGCCACTGTTGATTTTCTGATGGCGTAGGCAGCGCCACACAACTCGCTCACTCATTCATTCATTACGAGTGGATGACGGCTACTTAGGCGGACTGGCAGCGGGCTCCGGTGGCCATCTAAGGCTGTCAGGCCTACATACTTATTTACTTATATTCGTATACGTATATATTGTATGTGTATCTGTATGATTTTGATTAGTCAAAAGTTGTTCAAAATAAAAGCCACAACATGCCTAAATTCGATTATACAAGTATCTATGTATGTACGTACTTACTAAATATATATACTTGTATATGTATGTACATATGTAGGGAATCGAGTCATTGTTTTTTATCTGGCTTTAGTTTAAGTGTAATCTGCGGCTCGTTTTACTTTCGCTAGTTTCAAACGAGTCTAAAAAAGAAACAGATTGCATTGTATGGCAGAAAGTGAAATTTCGTTTTTTCTTCTTCTTCTTCTTCTTTTACCGGGCGGGGTCAGTGGGGCATTGAAAAGTGCGATTCGCAGAAAGATTAGTATTTGTACCAATTGCATTGTTTCGGAATTCAGGTTTTTTTACTTCCAAAGTATGTACACATGTGGTACTTAGCTATACGCGGAAACGGATTGTTGAAATGATTGTTCTTATAAGGTTTCTACAGGGTTTGAGTAAAATTATTAAAAACAAAAATGCCAATAAGATAGGCTTTTCAATACATTTTTTTTAAAAACTAAAATTAGTTTTTTAGTGCCTTTAGAAAATGATTTTTTGAATAAGAAATTTTTAGTTCTGGTTTCAGCTAGACCGTAGACTTTGATTAGCTTTTGTATAACGTCGGAACTAAATTAGATATTTAATGACCATTTTATTAAATCGTTTTTTGTATTGTATTATTCAGGAGTTCCAATAATCTTTTTAGCTTTGCAATTTAGTTGGCAAAATAACGAAACATTTCCATATAAATATTGTTAAATATTTCAAATATATTTAGTTACTCACTATAGCTTATTCAATGAGCTCAGAAATTAATTTTGAGTGAAATAATGGGGATTTCCATTAACAGAGGAAATTAGATATATAGTACTAGTATACACTAATTGGAATTTGCTGGCAGGGACAAAG